ATGGAAACAAATGCTTCGGATGAATTCATTGTGAGCATTTGAAAGTTAAAAAACTATTGATAGAATTTATAGTAATATTTTAAATTTTTTTCGTAAAAAATATTCTTGCAAAATTTCTTGCTAAAAAATTCTCAGGAAACTTTCCTACGAAAATTTTTTTGCATCCTGCAAATTTTTTTCGCAGGAAAATTTCCTGCGAATTTTAAAATTCGCAAAAATATATTATCCATGAAGGTATTACCTACAGATAAAATTTCACAAAAAAATTTGCAGGAAAAATCGCATGTAATAAAAGAAATTCTAGTAGTGCATGCACATGAATTTGATCTATAAAAAAAATAATAAAAAAATAAAAACTTAAAGTGCTAAAGCCCTCGGTCTTGGTCTCATATTTTCACAAAATTCACATTCTACGGTGAATTTACATGGCATTTAAAAATTTAAATAGAACTATCTCTAAAAAAATGTCAAGTACCAACAAAAAAACTAATTTTGGAAAAGAACAAATCATTTGTTCTATTGTTTATTTCTTCACAAATACATTAATATATACATAAATGATATCTCAAAATCTGTCATAAAAATCTCTAAGAAATCTCTAAGGATCTATCATGAAAATCTCTATGGATCTTTCTATAAATTTGTCCTAAAAATTGATCTGATACACTTATACAAATATACCAAATATCTTACAAGATATGTAAGGATATGTTAAATAATCTCATATATCTTACAAGATATGCTAGATAATCTTATTACCTCCCTCAAGTTGAACATGCAAATCGCAAATGCCTAACTTGCGTATATTAGCCAATTGCATAGTGGTAGAGACATAAGTATGTCCAATGTTTCCTTTTAGAATCTCATCTTGAACAAAATGACATTCAATTTTGATATGTTTGGTTCACTCATGGAAAAATGAATTTTTAGCAATGTGGAAAACGACTTGACTATCACAATGAACACACATAGGTTGAGAATGTGAGATACCAAGGTCAGAAAGAATTTCCTTTAACCACTTTAGCTCGCAAACAGTAGCTATCATGGAATGATATTTAGCCTCAATGGATGAGCGCGAAATTGTGGGTTGCTTCTTTGTTTTCGAAGAAATAGGAGAGTTACCCAAATGAATAAGTGATCCTGTGAGGAACTTGTGAGTAAGGGGACAACTTTCCTAATCTGAATCACACCATGCAATCAATTGCAAATCACAATTTTTACTCAAGAGCACACCTTGTCCCGAATTCCCTTTTAAGTAGCAAACTACTCACAATGCAGTTCCAATGCTCTTCTTTAGGTTGTTGTAGGAACTAAAACAATATATGGACACAATAAGACAATTATGGTCTAGTAAAACAAAGGTAAATAAGGCAAACGATGATTCTACTCCATGGGAGTACTTGCTAGTTTTGCTTCTAAGTCATGTTTCTCCAATGATATCCATCCATATGATGTAATTCCCAGTCTTTTATAGTCGTTAATGCCAACATTGTATACACAGTCACCATTTTTGACAATAGGAGCAAATGTCTCAATGTAATCAATTTCCACCTGATGATTTTGAGAATAACTAATGCATTTTAAACCTTTCTATGCTCCCATCATATTTATGCTTTATTTTGTAGACTCATTTGCAACCAAGTGCTTTCTTCCCAAGGGGTAAATGTATCGACGTCCAACTTTTATTATTTTCAAGAGCTCATATCTCATCTATCATGGCTTCCCTCCACCCACTATCCCTTGATGCTTCAGCATAAGAAAATGGTTCCATTTATTGTGAAATAGAGGCAAGAAAAAAACGACGTGCTAGAAAAAATTTGTTATAATTCACATAATGTGATATAGGATAAGGATCACCTAAGCATGTTGTTGATGAGGAAGAATCGTTGATGGCTCATTCTTCTAATAGTGTGAGTCACAAATTCTCATAGAAGAATAGATGGTTGTTTTACTGTGTCCTCTACCCAAAAGAGGTTCCTCTAGTGTCACTAATGTGTCGGGGGATGCATCTATTACATTAGAGACCATTTGTTCAGCGAGTTCATCATTTGGGGCACCCCCTATCATCTACCACAGTTACACTTTCCATAAGATCTTGTTGAGACTCATCACGGTCGTGCTCTATGAAAACCTACAAAGACAAATTTGTTTTGTATTATTCCAATCCAAATAGAATCTCATTCGGTGTTGTAAAATTAATAGTGTGAGTCACAAATTCTCGTAGAAGAATAGATGGTTGTTTTACTGTGTCCTCTACCCAAAAGAGGTTCCTCTGGTGTCACCAATGTGTCAGGGGATGCATCTATTGCATTAGAGACCATCCGTTCAACAAGTTCATCATTTGGTGCACCCCTTATTATCCACTACAGTTACACTTTCCATAAAATCTTGTTGAGGCTCCTCACGATCGTGCTCTATGAAAATCCTACAAAGACAAATTTGTTTTGTATTAATCCAATCCAAAATGAGTCCAATTCAGTGTTCTAATATTAATTTGAATTAATTATGTTCTTCAATTAATCAAAAAATGAAATCCATAATCATAAATTTAATTTGAAATTAATTGAAGAACAGAAAAGAAGAGAAGAAAGGAATTCAAATTTAAGAGGATTTTATCGCATAATTGAAATCTTGAATCGATTAAGAAAGCTTAGCCGCGCATCTCCATCATTGTCCATGCACAAATATGTTTGGAGAGAAGATGAAGAGTCTCAGCCAAAATAGAGAGGAGTTCATGAGAGAGAAAAGAAGAAAGTTGAGAGAAAATGAGAGAAGTTTCTAGAGCAAGAAATTTAAAATATAAAATTATGAGATTCCCAAAAAAATTATGAGTTCAATGTAATTACACCTACAAAGAGAAATCAAATGAGCCTAAGTTTGACTAAACAAGGCCCAATCCACTAATTAAGTCCTAATACACTAATTACACGTCATTAAGGTTTAAACTAAAAACAACAAAATAAAATTGCATTGGGACGCAACTTTGCACTTCCTTTTCAAACCTCTTCTTCCGATCTGAATTGGCTCTGGATTTCAACAGAGAAGTTGTAACACTCTCTAAGCTTTCCAACGATACCAAGAACATCTTAATCTAATTTTGGGAGCTCTAGATATAGCTTGCACAAGATAAAGTTTTCAAGTGGTTAAAAATCCAAAAATTGAGTAAAATTGACTATAATCATCAAATAATACCAGTATCATAAATCTAATTCAAAACATGAATATAAGACACATACAAAAGTAAAAAAGGCCAAATAAATGCATACAAAGTTGCTTTCTAAAATGCACTATCAGTGAGCTCGACCCTGTTATCACTTCAAAATATCTTTACTTGTTTATGAAATTATCTAAGGTAAATTTTTTTTGAAGTGTTTGTGGCACCTCTCTTTTATAAATCAACAGAAATACCCAAATGACGCGTGAGTAATCATCAACAATTGTCAAGAATTAGAAAGCACCACATGTTGAAGGGGTCTTATATGATCCTCATAAATCACAATGGATTAATTTAAATGTGCCACTAGCTTTATGTTCACTCAATGTAAATTTCTCTTTTGCATTGTTCTAAAACAAATATCACATGCTTTATTTAATATTGTATCGTCTTTATGTCGACTAGCTCTAGGAATTAACTGTGTAATGTTCATTGAAGGGTGTCCCATCTATTTATGCCACAGATCCATCAAACTCATTCCTTTAGTCTTATAAGTCCTTGCTCTTTGGATCCCCTAAAAAAAATAGAGTCCATCCATGCGTTCACCCCACCAATCAACATTCTCGAAGTGTGATCCTTCATAAAACACAATTTATTAGTGAATTAAAAGACACAATCCAATTTGTCCATTAATTGAGGGACTGATATCAAATTACACTACAATTTAGGAACATAGAGAACGGTAGTGAGTTTCAAGCCTTCATCCAATGTAACAACTCCTTATTTTTGTTGTTGTTGTTGTGTGTTCTCCATCGTGGAGTCCTACTAGGCAACTTTGAATATTATGTAAATCATGCATAATGTCTAAGTTCACTCTATCATGTGGTTTGAAGCTCTAGTATCAATAATCCATGCAGTGATGCTGCACTCGTCTTTTATCTTCTCATTACAATTTCTTCGCTTACCTTTCAACAAATCCATCAGCATCTGCTCCATAGTCTAGCCAACCTGAAACTATCTCTTCCTAAGTAAGTCATCTCAAAGTCTACTATGTCGTTTTGAATATCCATTCTCAAAGCCTTAACCTAGCTCTGATACCACAAATACATGAATATATATACATGGATGATATCTCAAAATCTGTCATAAAAATCTCTAAGGATCTCACTAGAAATTTATCCTAAAGATTGGTTTGATACACCCATACAAATATACCAAATATCTTACAAGATATGTTAAGATATGTTAGATAATCTCATGTATCTTACAAGATATGCTAAGATATGTTGGACAATCTTATTAACTAATTACCCACTATATAAAACAAACACTTTGAATTAAATGTATTAAGGCTGAACTCAACTCAAGTGCTTGAACTAGAACCATTCAACTTCAATGTGTGACATTGGGAAGCCATTGTGTGTGAGAGAGAAAGGTAAGAAAATAATTTCAATGACCACAAATTAGGGAACACATTTGGCTATACAAGAAGTCTTGGACAAACACATCAAACTTATGAATACATTTTATTTTATTTCATTACTTACATAATCAAATAATCCTACATTAAATTCCCAATTAACTATATTAATTAGAAATTAAAGTTAGACTAATTAAAACAACCAACAAATTTTAACTCTCATTATCAACCATTACTTTTGACGATAGATATTTTGCATTAATATTATGGTAAAAAAAATCTCATTATTACTACCACTTTCTAATTTAGTTTACTTGTAATTATTTGAATTTCAATCACATTAATATCCTGACATAACAAAACAGCCAAAGATGAATAAGGAAGAACTTTATATAAATAATAAAATCTAAAAGAAAACATTAGTGGTTGTTGATTTTCATATTGAATTTACTTGTTTTCAAATAAAGTACTTCATCAACGTGTTCCAAATAAGAGGTGTAACTTTTTAATCATAAATTTGAATTTATGATCCAAACACGCACTAAGTTATCACACATCATTGGAAAGAAAGATTGTTGAAAGTGCAAGATAAGAAGAACCATCACGAGACCATGCTCTTTGAGCCAAGCGTTTAAGCTCTTTAGCCTTTGCCCTAATCACACACCCTTCTTTATCATCCATATCCATTATCTTCCTTATTACTTTTGCTAGCTCTTCCTTTCCAACCATGTTGGTAGATGGTGACACCTTCACTCGAATTGAATTGCCAACTTCTTCTGCTAGCATTGTGGCATTCATCATTTGCTCTGCATAGAGAGGCCATCCAATTATGGGAACCCCACATGAAACACTCTCTATCACTGAGTTCCATCCACAGTGAGACACAAATGCACCAATTGAGGGATGCTTCAATATATCCATTTGTGGTGCCCAATCTGTGATCACTAATCCATTGCTTTGTACGCGGTAGAACTCTTCAGGAAAAGGATTTGATGCTACGGTGGTTCCGGTTTCACTTTTCTCACCTGTTAGGGAACCATAATATATTTATTCGAATATTAAACTAGATAAAATAATAATAATAATAATATTAAAAGCTTAAGCCGTTTGGGTGATTTTTAGTTGTAGTTTTAAAATTTTCAAAAATTACAATTAGTTTTAGTTTACAAAAATTTCGTTTGAAATATAATATTGTATTAAAATTAATTTAACGTTTGTGACAATTAGTGACACGACAAAAAAAATGATAAGATGAAAATGGTGACTATAATAATAATAATAATATTAACGAATAATAATGATAATAATAATAATAGTAAAGGCATTAATGATGATGAGAATAATTATGATTAATTGTAACAATAATTTATTTAAAATTAAAATGTTCAATTTTTCAAATTTGTGAATGGACATAAAGTTATAATTTATATTATGTTTTTAGTTCTCTAAATTTGGAGTTTATATTTTTTTTATCCCCAAATTTAAAATTTGTGTCTTTAGTCTATATAATTGCAAAAAATATTACTTTAATCTCTATATTTTTTTTTATTTATCAAATTTAAAACTTATAATTTTAATTTCTAAAATATTAAAAATTTATTATTTTAGTCTCTTTTTTCAAATTTTATTAGTAAATTTATCAAATAAAATGCATATATTATTAAATTTGTCGCACAAATTCTCTTACTAGTATCTTTTTTATGAATAAAAATATCACATTAAACCAAATTATACTTTATAATATGTTTCAATTAGTTATGTTGTTAGTGATCCTAAGAGATTAAAACAATTTTTTTAAAAATTACATAGACTAAAAAGATGAATTTTAGATATAAAAAACTAAAATAATAATTTTTAATATTTTAGTGACTACAAGTATAAATTTTAAATTTAAGAGACCAAAATATATACTTCAAGAGGTTAAAATAATAATTAAGCCTAAAAATATTTTAAAATTGAATTGAAAATCACTTGAGTTTTATTTTAGTTAAACAGATTTTGTTTTGAAAATTTCATTTAAGAACTAAAAGCTCATGACAACCCCTAACATTGTTTCAATTTTTTACATTTATAATTTATAATAATTTTTAAGTGTTCAATTACATTTATTTTAATAATTATAATTTTTTCACACTTCGGAAATTTTACTTAGCTACAAGGCCATGGCCATCTCTATATTCATATATTTGTGCGCAAAATTATGGAATTGGGTGAGTCGAATATTGAGCGTGATGTTTTTCCCCTTATCTTAAAAATAAATAAAAAAGTTTAATACTTTTCATACATGGTGATGTCTATGATGGAGAAGTTGGACAAGTGGTCCATGGATGGTGCATTTAAAATCACCATAGATATAATATTAAAAACAATGAATCGTTGAGATTGTGATTTAGTGAGAAGATATATTGTACACCTTCACACACTGGATAAAATTTCTGAATATTTTACTGGATTTTTTTTTATTTTTAGTCTCACAATATATATAACTGAAAGTAGGGAATAATATCTTATACAACAACTAGGTAGTCAAATGCTACCAATCAACTAAATATAACGTCAACCCTCCTCCTGAGTCTCAACCAAAAAGAAGCTCACCCAGTCTAGTAGAGTACCTAATCCTGATCTGCTCGCATACCAAGGTATGGTCATCACAGTCCCAACCACAAGGGAAAACAGGCTAGGGTAAGCTCACAACAATAATCATAAAAATATAACATCAACATATAATAAACAGTAATAGAATTCTACTTTCAACTTGTAACTTAAAGCAACACAACACATACAACAATAGATATACAACATCAACAACACTTTCAACACATCGTACTTTACTTAAATTAGCCGCTTATAATCGGTATAGCTCGGCCTGACTCCTATACCGTGGTCGCTTCATACATGTGTGCCTTGACCTTGCCCACACACGGGACCAACTAAGTCCTAGAGGAGAACAACACATCATCCACTCCAAGGGACAACTTTCCAATGAGGTTTTTTAAACAAATTAGGCTCTCAGAGCACCACAACTATCTCAATCCGCATAATGAGATGAGCAACTTTGCAAACTTCTCCTTTAGTCCTAGTGATCAACAACTCATCATCACAACACAACCACATAGTATTTATCACAATAGCACAACTATCAACTCATTTATACAACATTATATATAACTTGAATGCAACAACCCATGCAACATCAACTAATGCGTCGTCACACATATACAACTAGGAGATCTCCAACAATTGAGGTTGAGCAGTCTAGGTGGCATAAACATTACTGAATCCAACGTTTGACCTATCTTAACCAAGTCAGGTATAGGGCATCATTAGGAACTCCGAAGAGAACCAGGTATAGACAACAATAGGCGATTGCTCAAGTGTGCCACTTAGACTAGGAGGTCCAGTACTATTGTCAGGGCAAAAGGGTTTGGGTATGAACCTACTACGGCCTTGGTCTGCATAACCAATCCATATATGGGGTTAGTCCACCCACTGCCCTCCAAGTACCACGCATCCTCCAGTACCTAGTCAAAGACTACATCTCTAACTAAATACCTTACTTAATTTGGTCATTCAACCATGACATGGATCGACTACTTCCATGTTGCCCACACAGTACTAAGGGATTCAACTTTAAAACAACTTTCAACTTATCACCTTAGTACTATGTATCTCAACATAGGACATATATCTTCACCATATGTCCCTAACTTTTCAACTTTACAACAACAGACAACTTTACAACTTTACAACAACAAACAACTTTATACTACTTCACAATAATAGGCATCTTTATATCAACTTGAATAGACAACTTGAGCAACTATAGTTCGGCCTGGCCCCTATACCATGGTCGCTTTGTACACGTGTGCCTCGACCTTTCCCACACACGGGATCAACTAAGTCCTAGAGGAGAACAACACAACGTCCACTCCAAGAGACAACTTCCCAAGGAGGGTTTTTCAACAAATTGGGCTCTCAGAGCACCACAACTATCTCAATCCACACAATAGGATGAGCAACTTCAAAAATATCTCCCCTAGTCCTAGTGATCACAACTCATCATCACAACTTAATCAGCTTAACAACTTAAATAACATACAACTTTTTAACTCATCATCTCAATCAACATTCAACTTGAACAACATAGTTTATCAGCATAACAACTCATCCACATTGTTTAACAACACATTTTAACAACACAACATCTCATTTTAACTTTAAACAGTAGAATCAACTCAATCATCATAAAATAATATATTTTTAACACATGGCACAACATACAACTTTATAACAACATACAACTTTTCTCTAACAACTTAACAATATTATCATCATGCACTTCACAACATATACATATCCACAGATAACATATAGCAACTTTATCAACTTAATTTTAACTAGCTTCAACAATATCATAGATCAACACACAACTTGTAAACAACTTCACAACTTAACTACAACATGCATCTCCAACAACATCATTAGTAAATATTTAATCATATATTAGCAACACACAATATTTTCATCACATAACACAACTCATACTAATCAACCTAAGTACCCAACTGAGTTCCCAACTCACATACAACCAACAACTTTACAATCTAGCTTCCCTTACCTGAAGATTGACTCAAAATAGCCAAGAAGCGGAATTCCCTTTCCGAAGCTCAACCCGTAACTTCAATCCACCCAAAGCAAGCTTCCTAGTCCGAATTTCAAGAAAAGACAGAAGGCATTAGTGATCTAGAGGAGAAAAGGAATCATACAGAGAAATTTGGGAGAGAAAGGAGCTCACAGACCCAGAGTCCTTCTTTCTAAAACTTCTCTCTAAAAACCTCATTTTCTCCTCAACCACCCAACTCTATTTATAGAAGTTCAGGAGTGGCCAGAACGGCCTGTTCCGAATCCGGAACGACGCGTTCTGTACCCCTTCATCATGTGTAAAAATTACATGCAGAACAGCCCGTTCTGAAACCAGAACGGCCCGTTTTGGGACTGAACCAGAACGGCCCGTTCTCCATCCAGAACGGCCCGTACTCCCTCCAAAACGCCCCATACTCCATCTAGAACGGCCCGTACTCCATCCAGAACGGCCTGTTCTAGGGTTTGAAACACTCCATTCTCAATTACATTTTATAGGTCAATTCAGTAGTTTGGAACGGCCTGTTCCAGTTTGGAACGGCCCGTTCTAGTTTGGAACGGTCCGTTCTAGCTTGGGAACGGCTCGTTTTGGGCTATTGAATCACTCATATTGGGCTTTTGGGCCTTCTGAAATAACTTATTACGTTACACGTTCCAAGCTACTAAATCACCCCTATATATTTATAAAAATAAGTCTCTCCAACATGAGTTAGAGAAGGCTCGCTCGAAGAAAGATGCTATTAAGGTTCAAAGTCAAGAGATCAAGCAGCGTCAAACGGGTCTCAAAGAGGAAGGCAAGGTCATCTCTTCTCGACTTGCGAAGACCTTAGAGCAGAAGAAGCATTTGGAAGCTCAATGTTCCTCTCGAAGAAAACGTTTGGACGAGGCTTACAAGGCTTTCAATGATTTTAAATCAAAGTTTTGTAATAATTAGATTTCTTTTATTTATCCTTGAACAATCAATATTCTATCCTGTTATGAAAGCACTTTAAGTATTTTCCATTTATTACTTTGCTTGCATTCGAATTTACTTCTTTAATCACATTTGCATTACTTGAATATACTTGCTCGACTACAAAGGGACCTTCCCAATTATAAGACCATTTACCTAGATATCGAGATTTTTACTCCATGGGAAGAATTACTTTTAACACCAAGTCCCCAACTCGAAATCGTTGAGTTTTAACCCTCTTGTTGTACGATTTCTCGACTCTTTCCTTTTGTCGAACAATATTTTGCAACGCAATTAACCTTTCCTCCTCTAAAGAAATCAACTCATCATACATTAAATTCCAATAATCATCAGTAGGTAATGAAAGAAGATGAAATGGGTTTTATCAAGAAAAGGTTTGTATTGGCCAACTATGATTAAGGATTGTATCGAATTCGCAAAAAGTTGTGAAGAGTGTCAAAAACATGGACCAATACAAAAGGTACCAGCAAGTGAGTTACATTCGATCATCAAACCTTGGCCATTTCGAGGTTGGGCAATCGATTTAATCGGACAAATACACCCACCTTCCTCGAAAAATCACAAATATGTTTTGGTTGCCATAGATTACTTTACAAAATGGGTTGAAGCTATTCCTTTAAAAGAAGTCGAGCAAAAAGAAATAATTGATTTCGTCGAAGATCATATTATTACAAGGTTTGGGATTCCTCAAACAATTAATATATATATACATACATATATACATATATATACATATATAGATGGTATTTTTTATTTATTATGTTCATTGCATTTGCATATCATCTCAAACTAATATTATATTATTAATGTAACATACTGTTTATTAATTTACAAAAAATAAATTGAAAATCTGGTCAATAGAACTAGACTCATTAGTTCAGTGTATCATTTTTAAAATACAAGCGATGTTTTACTAAATATGAATATAAATAAAGATATTTAAAGATAATTTTATAAAGCTAAAACTAATAAAAAAATATGATTTAAATATGTTTAATTCTTCAAATTTAAAGAAAATTTATTTTTAGTCTCTCAAATTTAAAATTGATCTTTTTAGTCTTTATAATTTAAAAAAAAATATTTTAATCTTTATAGTCAAATTTCATTTGTAATTTTGTGAAATATTATTGCACAAAATTTATTTACTTATATTTTTATTAATAAAAATGTCACATTAAATTTAATTAATATTGTATAATTATCGACAGATATATTACTTATAACATGACAGATTAAAACAATTTTTTTATTAAAATTACACGACTACAAAAATTAATTTTAAATTTGAGAGATTAAAAATAAATTTATTATAAATTTAATAGATTAAAAATATATTTAAGTATAAAAATATATATAACTTAAACCAAAATTTATATCGACAGAATTAAGATGTTTAAAATATAAAAAAAAAGTATAATTTTTGTTGAGTCCATACTACTCACCTGCTGTGAAATAGTGCTCATTGCCGGCTTTGGTAATAGGAGGACGAACAGCCCAAACAAATTTTTTTCCACTTAGCTCCAACCCCAATGCCATCTCTTTGATTTGCTCAAATGTCATTGCATATCCACTCCCAAGTGACACAAGCACCACTGAATCTTCTTCTTGTGTATCTAGCCACTCAACAACATCACTTCTCCTTCTCTCATCAACATTTGGGTCTCTGTCCCTCACAATTGGCCCAATTGGGTACACGGGCACCTTCGTGATGTGTCCACTCCCACCAAGTGCTTCGAGTGTCCTAGGTTCTAGCTCACCAAAAGTGTTCACAAAAACCCCATCAGCCAGTGATGCCCCCTCACATGCACCAACAAATTCATGGTACAACCTATGTGTCCTGTCTTTCAACATGTCGTACAAATCATGGGGGTATATGGGTTTGCAACCCGGGATTGAGATTGGTATGTTTTCATCATTGACATATTCCCCTTGTATTTCTTTATCCAAAGTGGGGGTGTGAAGAGCAAGTGCTAGGAGCCATGCATTAGTTGTGGCAAAAGAAAATTTGGGTGCTTTTAGGTTTTTAGCTAGAGGTATGACTTGGCTTAAGTAGAAGTCCATGATGATGATGGTTGGGTTGAGGTTCATGGTGGAGATTGTGGACACAAAGAGTGGTGGGATTTCATGCATTATGGTTGCTATTTTGGTTTCTACAGAGGCATGAGGGCCAACTAGGGTTGTGAGGTCAAGTGGGGGGAGTGAGATTAGGTCAAAGAGGTTCTCCTTCATGGCTAGTTGAAGAAGTTGGGTCTCAGCTTTGGAGGGAGTGGATGTTTTGATTGTGCCATAAATGAAGGTGAGTTTGGGAGTGATTTGGTGAGTGACTAGGTGCTTGGCTAGGGCTAGGGCAGGGGTTATGTGACCCATTCCTGGTGAAGCCAAGACAAGAGCATGAGTGTTTGAGATGGCCATGAGATGGGAAAGTGAAATGAAATGAAATTAATGATTGAATGGTAATGGCTTGAGCTTTGTGATCTATTTATTATTAAGGTCAAGGTCGTGCTAATGTTATAAAGATGCTTTGTATATGCCCAATCAACAAACCTTTATAGAATAATATTAATGAACAAATTTTCAAATCTTCACACACCCTCCCCAAATTTTCGAGTGTACGAAGAAAAGAAAGAAATAACGATGGAAAAAAATAGAAAACATAGCACACAAATCAATTAAAATAGGCTTAAATATATTTATCTCTCAGATTTAAAATAAATTTATTTTTAGTTATTTAAATTTAAAATTGATATTATTAATCTTTATAATTTTAAAAAAAATCTTATTTTAATCTTTATATTCAAATTTTAACGATTCAATTATTAAATTTAAAGTTTTTAGTACATAGATCAAGTCTGCAAATTTCTAAAAAATTTGAGAATTACTTGATACTTCACTAATTTAATTTAAATTGATAAATAATTATAAAATTATTTTATACGTTAGTTTGAATTAATAAAACGAAATATTATATGGTCTTTAATTTTTTTAAAAATTATATTTAATTTATATATTAATTAAAAACTTTAAATTTAATAATTAAATTATTAAAATTTAATATAAAATATAAGTTGAACAAAATAAATTTAAATAGAATTATTTTTGAAATAAACTGATCACTTCTTTGTTATATATATATAATATTAATTCCTTAGTAAGTGTCCTTGAAATATAGCCATTAAAAATTGTAGAGTAAGTACGTGAAACTCAAAAAGTCATACTTGTTATTTTGAATGGAGAGGCAATAATATTTGTTTATTGCTTACTGTGCGTTGGAGGTGGATTCTTTGATCTTGATCTCCTACAAATAATTTTTTGACCCAAAAAATCTCAATCATGCCTTTAAAATACTTTATTTTATATTAAAATAAAGCATACGAAAGCCACCAGTTATTATCTTAAGTGTAGAATCCTGTTCCCTTTGGTGGGTAGGTGAGTTTTAACTTTACACCTAACAAATAATTAAACTATATCTTCACGCATTAGAAAATTATCTATATTTGCAAGTTACAACAAATATTTGATTATTAAAAAAATTGAAATGATATACATGTCATTCTTTATATAATTTTTTTTAATTATTCACTCTTTTTTTCATACACATGTCTCAACAATCATTGCAAAACTAAATAAACGATCTTTTTTTAGTTTTTTATTGAAAAAAAAAACTTCTAGTTATAAATTTCCAAAACCCAAAAAAATTATAAATGCCTCATTCACAAGAATGAAAAATAAAAAAAAAATGAAAAGGAGGAGAAAGCAACAACATACTACCCTTGCTATTATTCAAAAAGATAAGTTGTTATATACAAGGAAAAGTTGAAAAAGAAATAATAGAAAGGAGAGAGAAACTAACAGCTAAAGATGAAAAAGAAAAGTAACAAAAATTATTGTTGCTAACAGAAATTATTGTTGAGACCCCCCTCAAGCTGGGAATAGATGTTTAACATGCCCAGCTTGGTATGAAAACTTTGAAACAAAGTGGGAGAAAGCGTCTTAGTGAAGATGTCTGCAAGTTGGAGAGATGAAGGCACCGAAAGAAGCTTGATCAAACCGGAGTTGACCTTTTCACGAACAATATGACAATCAATCTCTATATGTTTAGTACGCTCATGAAAAACTTGATTTGTTTCTATTTGAAGAGCTGATTGATTGTCACAATAAAGAAGAGTTGGATGAGTGAAGGAGACTCTAAAATCTTGAAGAAGAAAAGTGAGCCATTGAAGTTCACAAGTCGTGGAAGCCAGGGCACGATATTCAGCCTCAGAAGAGTTGCAGGAGACAGTGGGTTGCTTCTTGAAACGCCAAGATATGAGTGAATCACCAAGATAAATAGAAAAACTGGTAATGGAGCGTCAAGAATAATGACAACCAGCCCAATCTGAGTCACTAAAAGCTTTGAGTTGACATGAATCGTTGGCAGAGAAGAAAATCCCAAAACATATTTCCTCTGAGAGACATGTATGCCAGACTTGTTTCGAGCTATTTCAAGGCCTAAGAAATATTTGAGATCACCTAAATCCTTGATTTTGAATGTGTCATTAAGAAGCTTAGTGATACATTGGATTTTAAGGAGATTGTTTCATGCAAGAACAATGTCATCTACATAGACAAGGAGAGTAATAATCATTGAGTCGGAGAACTTGAGAAACAAAGAATGATCAGAAGAGCATTGATGGTAACCATGCTGGAGAAGAAAGGAGGAGAGTCAAGCAAACCATTGTCGACTAGCCAGTTTCAAGCCATAGATGGAACGTTGCAACTTGCAAACTTGGTTGGGATGAGTTGGAGAAAACCCACGAGGTAATTTCATGTAGACTTTTTCATGTAATTCACCATGGAGAAAAGCATTATTCACGTCTAATTGTTTAAGATGCTAGTTGTGAATGGCAGCAAGAGCAAGGAGAAGGTATTATATTTGTCATATTCAAAACCTCACTTGCAATTGCTTCATCTTCGTCTGACTTGACAATCTCCCCCTTTTTGATGATGACAAATATAATTAATCAAATGGTTTCAAATAAACTAAATGAGAGATATTCACATTTATATGTCACAACAAGCTCATATGTTGTCAATTCATTTGCACCTCTACCTCTCCGCCTTACTTGATTGTCTACGCTTTCCCGTTTACTAGATTGTCTCTTAGAATGCTTTGATTTATATAACATATTAACATATTTGATTTATTCTTTTCTATTTCTCCCCCTTTGTAATCATAAAAAAGAATCAGAAGAGTTTCTAGGCAACATTTGAAAAAGAGAAGGGGTAGCATGACAAGCGATATACTAGACGAGATCATACACAGAAAGATCACAATAGTAATTGTGAGTGAAACTGAAATATCATATTAACTCAATTAAGAATTGAATACAACGGGAAGATTCTGTAAATAATGGAAATAAAAATACATCTGGTTATTTTCTTGACTTAGTTATTCCTACACTAATTTTCCCGAATGATCACGAAGATGGAGGTGGTTCCTTGGATAACTCAGAAGTCATCAGGTAGAACAAGCAGTCAAACTTGTTATCCAGATCTTCTTTAAACTTATTGAATGTCTCAATCGAGACATATTGCTGTTCAGGTTCAGATGCAACTAGAAGTTCCTCACGATGGGCTGTCGCCACCGGCCCGAAACGGGCTTTCGGCATTCGCGAAGGATGGTTGGACTCGTTTATTTGTTTAAAAATGTGGATTGCTAGAATGACTTATTCTCAAACTGAGACCTCGTCAAACGAGCAATTTTATTAAAAGTCTCACTAATCCATATTAATCCCAAGCGGGACCCTCCATGGATTAGTGGTTTTCGTAAAAGGAGGGTTCGTGGAGTCGCCACCAATGTTTTACTCAAAACATTGGAAAAAGGGATAAGGCAATTGATTTTATAAATCAACTTTGGCCATTACAACCAGAGTTGGGTAAGGGAGTCGGTTACGCGTGGGGAAGGTGTTAGCACCCCACAGCGCCCCTTTCGGGTTCCCTATGACAGATTATTT